GACCCCTCCCCCCCTCCTCGTCTCTCCCTCCCTCTCACGGCGGCCCGGCCTCGAAACGACAAATGACAGGTGCGCCGTCCTCGGGCTGCGTCAGCTGTACACCCTCATCGCCGAGGCGCCGGGCGCCGGTCGAGTCCGCTGCTCGGCGGGCGGCGTCTCTTCACACCTTCGCGCCTGTGAACCAGGCGGTCGACGCCTTCGAGTACCTGATGTACGGCGTCGCATTCGTGCTCGCCTTCATCGGACTCAAGCTGCTCGGCAGCTTCGCCGGCGTCGAGGCGCGCGCCGCCGCCGCCGCCGCCGCCAGGGCGTGAGGCCCGCCCTCCCCCGTCACGCCCGTTCCGTGACTCGTCGACGACGCGCCCCGCAGGTGCCCACCGAGGTGTCGCTCGCGGTGGTCGTGGCCTCCATCGGCGCCGGCGTGGGCGCGTCGCTCCTCCTGCCGCCGCCGGACGACGACAGCGGCGGCGGGAGTAGCGGCGAGTGACCCCACGACGGGCGTGGGTTCTGGGTAGCGTGAGGCGGGGCAGACCCCAGCTGACAATGTACCTGTCGCTTCCGCGCTCTCCACCGCGCCGCCGCGGCCGGGCTGTACTCCGCGCGCTGGGCGCGTACTTGCGCGCATCCCTTATGTGTGTGTGCGCCTCTCGCTCGGACATGTTTGAAAATTCGATTCTCGCGAGGTTTTGTGTCTCGGGTGTCCCTGCGGCACTGCGGGGTCGCCCTGCGCTTCTCGGATCTCGCGTGTCGCGACAGCCCCGACACACGCGCGAGGTGACACACATGCAGAGAGGCGTGTGTATGTGTGGTGGCTTGGTGTGACTGGACACTAGTCACTACGTTGTGTGAGAGTGTGTGTGCGCAGCCGTGTCGAGAGGCCCAGAGCCCACTCGCTTGCTTTTTTTCGCTCCAGTCCTGCGCGCGGATCTTCACACTCCAAGACCGGAGGGCTACGAAGCCTTCACACTCCAAAGGGGCTGCCCAGAGCCCCACAAACGACGTCCGTCTCACGTGTCAGCTGATACTGATGTAGAGTATAGAGTGGAGCAGTTGTGGTTTCTTTTACTGTAGTCTCTCTCGGCTCAAGTGACTAGCAGGGCCATCAATCCTGCTGCTGTCACGTTCGCTTGACTAGCGAAGACTTCTGCAAAGGTGGGATATGGCGTTGCCGTGAAGAACGCGTGCACCTCGTCCGAGTTGTTGACAAACTCACTGATGCGATGTGAGTGGACAATCCGAACGGACGAGTATTCCGTTCGCGCGGGAGGAGGCTTCCGCTGCTCGCACGGGAGCAGCTGCATCGAGAGTCCAGACGGCAGCTCTTGCGTGTCCTCAAAGGCCTCAAACGTGATCAGCCGTGGCCGCAAGCCGCAGCGGCTCAGCTTGGTGTACAGGTCCGCCTTTTTCCGCCAGTTTTGTACCAACGAGTCTGCAATCTCTCCGAGCGCCCCAACGTCAAACGCCTGCTTCGGCGGCAGCGCATCGTACGCCGTGCCGTTTTTCGTCCTGAAGAACTGCGGCATTGCTTGCAGGTATCGGTCCGAGTACACTGAGAGGCTCCAGCGTAGCAGGTCGGTGCGAACGAGTATGTACGGCTTGGTGCCAGGAAGCTGGCATAGCGTTTGCGCGCTCGCGCGCAGGAGCACTCCACGAGCCTCGCACGGGCAGCCCGCGTCGAATAGCCTAACCTGGTCCCGCCAGACTTTGACCCGCTCCTCGATCATGTGACCCGCTGCCTGCGGCAGCACGGTGGCCAGCTTCAGGTTCGCGACGAGCGGAGTGCTGAAGAAGGTTCGCAAGGCGTCGAGCTGCTGCCTCGCAGTTGTGATGCCGTTCCTTTCGCTGGCGTCAAAGTACTCGTTGATCAAAAAATTCACACAGCGCGTGCGGATGAGCTTGTCTCCTATCCCGTGGGACCCCTCGTGCGAGTTGTGAAGCACATAGAACTGGACCGACGATGCAGACCCAGACGGGGACGGGAGGGCGCCGGCGGCCCTGGGAGTGAAGGCCGGGGCGGCGGACGTAGCGCACGGTTGCGAGCGCTCTCGACACCCGACAGCTGCGGCGGCCGCGGATGCTGCCGCGCCGCACAGGAATGCCATTTGACGCGGCGAAACACAAGTTTGCGTCGCCTTTTTTTTCGCGGCGTTATGTGTGTATGTGCCCCACACCGCGCCGGTGTCCAGTCCGAGCGTGACTGTTCTTTCCCCACTTACTTGCTTGCCCACAAGGAGGACAGGGTCCACACCTGCACGAGCAGGATTTTGGAAGGACGATCAGGGGGACAGGTGGGCTCTCCTGCTCCTGACAAGGGACACGACAGGCTCGCAGCGCGGTGCACGGTGGAATCCCAACTAACTCCACTGGCGGTCTCATCTCAGTCTAGCGACCTTCCTCCGGCTTCTCACCGGCAGTCTCTCGCTACCACAGGCACACTGACACAGGGGTGGCAGGGGCGGCGGCATGAGTCTCCCACATACTATGCGGGCCTCACTAGAGGTGCGGCCTGCGCGTGTCCTCGCCCTTGGGAAGGTCTTGAGGGGGGAGGGGAAGGGGAGGCTGTGTGTCTG